TTTTTTTTTTTTTTTTTTTTTTTTTTTTTTAAAAAAAAAAAAAAAACAATAATTATGTTAAATCTTTCTGTTGTGTATTATTCTATTATATGCTAACCTGTTCTAATCTGTTTTGCTTACTTGTTCTATCATATTATATTATTTGGTTTTCTAGTCTATTGTGTTCTTGGAGTTCAATTGTTTGATCCTCAACTTCGTTCTAATAGTTTCTATGCACTTCTGTTCTATGCCATCAATCCATTATATTATATCTTTTTGTGGTAATATAATACTCTAGCTTTGTTTTGTCATATCTTGCTCTGTTCTGATTCTATTATAGTCTATCTTGTTCTTTTCCATTATTCTCAATTCTCTGCTATTCTGTTTTGATCTCGTCTGTTCTATTATGTCATGTCTTGTTCCATTGTGTTCTGTTCTCTTCCTGTTCTCAGTCTATCCGATGCAAGTCTTTTGCGTTTGAAGCCTTTTCTGTTCTAGTCTATTATGGTGCGCTCTGTTCTGTTACCTCAGATTCTTTTATATCCTATTCTTTTCTGTTCCATTAAATGTACATTATCCCATTCGATAACTTTATGTTCCATCATGTTATCTTACTTTATTTCCATTTCCGTTCTCATCTATTCATTTCCTTTGGACTCTAGCTGTCTATCCCATCGTGTTCTATTTTGTTATGTTCTGTTATCTATTATCCTATTGTCCTCCCTGCTTGTGGTATGCCATTTTCTGTCTGTTCCATGCTATTGTGTACATGTCTGTTTTTTTATTTGATTCTGTTCTGTTCTGTTCGGTTCTGCTCTAGTCCAGTCTTGTATAGTTTCGTCGAGCTTATTTTATTCTTACCTAGTCTAGCTTAGTCTAGTTCAGTCCAGTCTACTCTAGTCTAGTCTGTTCTACTTTGATTTGTTCTTTTCTAATCTTCGCTTTTCGATACAGTTCTAGTCTATTCGGCTCTGTTATATTGTATTGTATCCTAGTGCGCTGTAGGGTATCCTTTTTAATGCTATATGGTAGTCTGTTCTGCTATGCTCTATTAGATTTAATTCTGTTCATGTCTAGTATAACCGATGCTGTTCTATTATGTTCTGGTGTGTTCCTTTTTTTCTCCCTTGTTCTGTTTCAGTATATACATAATATTCAAGATTATACTCTTTTCAATTCTTTTCTGTTCTTTGTTATTCTTTTTCTATTGTATTGTATCCGTGTCTGTTCTGTTCTTGTCTGTTTCATTATGTCGTAATATTTGTATGATCTGTTATGCAATGTTTTGTTATGTTCTATTATATTATGTTCTGTTCCATCATGTTCTACTGTGTTCTGTTATGGTTTGTTTTGTTTTTTGTGTCTATTCGATTTGTTCAACAATGTTGTTTTCTGATTTGTTATATCATCTCTTCATTTCATTCTAGACTGTCATTGCCCATCCATCCAGTCCTGTTTTTTGTGTAGTATCGTACCTTATTTTGATATACCGCACTGTTTTCATCCCATGACATTGTACCACTTTCTCTTCCACTCTATTCTATATACCCCTAAACAGTTTAATTCTTTTATAATGATATGCTTTTGTGTGCTATGTTTCGTTATGTTCAGTACTGTTCTATTGGATTAACCCATGTTCTGTTACAGTGTGTTTTATGTGGTTTTACTGTGATCCGTTCTATGCAGTTCTGTTTATACCATTGTATGTTCAGTTCTATGGTAATAGAATATAGACCGTTCCTATTCTATGTTGTTCTACACGAGCTAATTCAAGTCTACTCGATGCTATTCGTAATTTGGCTTTTGCTGTAGTGTGGTATGTTCTTCCCTATTTACTTTCCATTATATTCTAACCTACTCATTCTACTTTACTCTGCGCCTACTCTCCTATCATCAAATGAAGATTCTGTATTATTTCTCCTACACTGCTCGACCATCTACCCTACTTTACTCTACCCTAGTCTGCCCTACCGTAGACTAGCCCACCCCAACCTACCTTGCTGCCACTCCGGCTATATCATTATTTCTTATGGGTGTACACTCCGCTCTGCCCTCTCCCCAGCCGGTTGCGGGCCAAATCCGGGGGGTCCCATCCTAACCTGCAACATACAATACACAATCTACGTTTTTCCTATCATCATGAACGTTTTGTGGTCCACGTTGCGAAATGCGTGGCTGGACTGGGACGCGGCGCACCCCCCGCGCGAAAAGGCGAAATGTCGCTCTCGCTTCGGCGCCGCGCGCATCTTTTCTGAAACTGGCGCTCCCGCCAAGGCGCGGCGCACATTTTTCGCTTGCCAACTCGTCGGGCGCCTGGGGCCTCCTTGGGCTCCTTGGGGCTTCCTGGGGCCTCCTTAAGCATCCTGGGGCTTCCTGGAGTTTCCTGGGGCCTCTTGGGGTTTCCTGGGGCATATTGGAGCGCCTGAAGCATATTGGGGTTTTCTGGGGCCTCCTAGGGCTTTCTGGGCCTCCCGAAATCTTCTGGGGCCTCCTGTGGCCTCCAGTGGATTATTACCACTACTACTACAACTACAACAACAACTGTGTACTACAACGTTCACTACCACTACTACTACTACTACTACTGCTGCTGCTGCTGCTACTACTATTGCTACTAGTACTACTACGACTACGGCTACGACTACGACTACGACTGCTACTACCATTGCTACTACACCAACTACTACTACTACTACTACTACTACTACTACTACTACTACTACTACTTCGACGACTACTACTACTACTGCTGCGACTACTACTACTACTACTACTACTACTACTACTACTTCTACTACTTCTACTATTACTACTACTACTACTACCACTACCACTTACTACTACTACCTATTACTATTACCACTACTACTACCACCACTACTACTACTACCACTACTACTACTACTGCTGCTACTACTACTACTACTAGTACTACTACTACTACCACTACCACTACTACTACTACTACTACTACTACTACTACTACTACTACTACTGCGACGACGACGACGACTACTACTATTACTACTACTGCCACTACCACTACTACCAGTACCACCACCACTACTATTACTATAACTAGTACTACTACTAGTGCACCTCTTATTACTACTAGTACTACTACTACTATTACTGCTACTACTACTACTACTACTACTACTACTACTACTACTACTACTACTACTACTACTACTACTACTACTACTACTACTACTACTAACTACTACTACTACTACTACTGCTACTACTACTACTACTACTACTACTACTACTACTACTAGTACTACTATACGGCGACGGCAACTGCGACTATTACTAGTGTTATTACTATTATTATTTCTATTATTATTATGGGTGCTATTTTTTACGATTGCTACTACTACTGTTGGTTTTATTACTAACACTTTTACTTCTACGACTACGCCCACTACTTCTACTACTACTACTACTACTACTACTACTACTACCACTACTAGTACTACCACTACCACTGCTAGTATGACTACTACTACTACTACTACTACTACTACTACTACTACTACTACTACTACTACGACGACTATTCCTACATCTACTACACCCACTACTGCTACTGCTACTACCACTACTACTACTACTGCTACTACTACTACTACTACTCCTACTACTACTACTACTGCTACTGCTACTACTACAATTACTACTGTTAGTATTACTGCTACTGGTAGCAGTACTACTACGATCAGTATTTCTATTAGGACGGCTACAACAACAACTACTACTGCCACTACTGCCAGTACCACCACCACTACTACTACCACTACTACTACTTGTACTACTACTACGACTACTACGACTATTTCTATTGGTTATATCATTATTTCAAATATTACTCTTGCCACTATTACTACTACTACCACTCGACGACGTCGACTACTACCACTATTACTACTATTTTCACTGCTACTATTTGTGTTAATCGTATTATTGTTTCTGTTACTACCATTACTACTACTACTGCTGCTACTACTACTCCTATTGATCATACTACTACAACAACTACTACTACCACAACGGCGACGACGCCGACGACCTTTAATACTACTAATACCACTACCACTACTACTGCTACTGCTACTGCTTCTACTACCACCACTTCTACGTTTATTGGGCGTTCGGCCTTTGGTTGTGCCAGCAATGATTCTTGGGTTGCGGAAGGGCGGGTGGGAACGGGCATACCATGCTTGACTCACTCGAGCTGGCTAGCTTGACCTTACTTTGCTCCTTCTCTACTTCATCTTGCCCCACTCAACTTTACTCTGTTCTATTATGTTTTATTCTACGTTGCTCCTGCTCTACTCTTCTCTCTGCTCTACTCTACTCCCAAATGCTTTCCTCTCCTTGACTCTGTGCTGCTCTACGCTACTCATTCTGCTGTACTCGCCAGTGGAAGCCATGCGGATACGAGGGAGCCATTCGGATACAAGGGAGCCAGGCGGGTGCGAGGGAACTAAGCGGATACGCGGCAGCCGCGCGGCTACGAGGAAACAATGTGTTTACGATTACGAGGAAGCCATGCGGATACGAGGAAGCCATGCGGGTACGAGGAAGCCATGCGGATACGGCGAAGCCATGCGGATATGAGGAAATCATGCCGCTACGAGACACGCGCGTAGTTCGACCGTGCTCGGGCAATGAGTGGGTGGGGCATTGGACCAATTCTCTAAGGACCCAGCTGGGGCTCCTGTAGGCAAGCCTATTCGGAGAACGTGACCTGTCGGAGGTCCGCGCGGATTCTCGGAGCGGCGCTCGACCCCTCTTGCCTGGCGCGCGGAGTGCGCCCGAGTCTTGGATGGGTCCGCCACGCCCGCCCAGCAATGCCCGTCTGGCCAGCCTCGGACACGCCCCGAGGATGCTCCGGGTTGGTGACTCGCGCGCCAGGGGCGGCGCCAGGGGCGCCGCCAGGGGGGCCCAGCGCCGATCCCCGAAAGCCGCGCGGACCTCCGACAGTTCATGCCCGTGCCGTTCGCTGCTCTTCTCAGGAGCTGGGCGACCCGGAGGCGGTGAGCATCGTGTGCTCCCGGCTCGAGGACGGCGACGACGGCGTGAAGGAGATCGGCTGCGCGCGAGGGTTTTCGCCGCAGTGGCATGTGGATGCGGGCCCGCAGCGCCCCCCCCTCCCTGGCGCGGGCCCGCGCGCTGGGATTGGGGACCTCCCCGCGGCCCCCCCCGAAGGCCGCCGCACCACGGGCCCCCCTCTCTGCCAGGGGCGTCGAAGGCGGCATGCCCGTGCCGTCGTGGCTGCGGCCCGAGCGAGTGCGTTCCAGGCTGAGAACGATGCCGCCGCTGGCCCGGAAGCGGCCCACGCGGAGCGGTGCGGCGACCGAGAAGCCGCCCATCCTTCGGAGAGGAGCGCTCCGCGCGCGCGCGTCGGAGGCCCCAAGCCCACGCCGAAGCCGCCACGACGCCAGGGCCCCGACGTCGGGATCTTTTCACAGCGTCGACCCCCAGAGGCCTGGACCCCTTCCTCAGCACCAGTTTTCCATCCCGAGTCGTTTTTTGACGGTCCCGAGGCCCAGCAAGGGCCCCCAGAGGCCGAGATTGGCCAAGAGCCTCCCGTCCTATTTTTGCCACGGCGCGATCCTGTCTGGGAGCCCGCCGCAGCCGAGGAGACCGCGGTGAGCGTGCTGAGCCAGCTGGCCGAGCGGGGCGACCCCCACGCCAGCGCGGAGGCTCGGCCACGCGCAGAGGGGGGTGGGTGGAGGGGGGAAGGCTTCTCATAAGCACCCCTGTTTCTTAGGAGCCGTGGGCCTTGTTTGTGGATGTAAGGCCCGCGCCTTCTATGAAGCAGCCTTCTTCTAAGACGCCCTCCCCCCTCCCCCCTCCCCCCTCCTCGGAGGCATAGAGGTTGACACCAACACCAATATCGGTGGTGTGCCTCCACCGAGGGAAGCTGATCCCAGTCTCGGTGATGGTGGTAACCATTGGGCTTCCTAGGTGGCCGAAATATTACCACCAACACCAAGATCTAGGATCACCTTCCCCCGGTGAACGTAACTCCCTATTTTGGTGTCGGTGTCGATTTCCAAACATCCCCCTACCCCCCTCCTCCTCCTCCTCCTCCTCCTCCTCCTCCTCCTCCTCCTCCTCCCCTCCTCCTCCTCCTCCTCCCTCCTCCTCCTCCCGCCCTCCTCCCTCCTCCCTCCTCCCTCCTCCCTCCTCCTCCTCCCCCCTCCCCCTACCCCCCCTTATTCGCGCCGCCAAGAGGCGGGCGCGCGCCTGCTGCACTGGGACTGGAGCGTGCGGCGGGCGGCCGTGCTGGGCCCTGGGCTGGCTGCTGCACCGCGGCGACGCCAAGGCCACAGCTGCCGTGAGGAGGAGGAAGGAGGGGAGGGGGGGGGGAGGGGAGGGAGGAGGAGAGGAGGGGAGGAGGAGAGGAGGGAGGAGGAGGAGGAGGAGGAGGAGGAGAGGAGGAGGAGGAGGAGGAGGAGGAGGAGGAGGAGGAGGAGAGGAGGAGGGAGGAGGAGGAGGAGAGGAGGAGGAGGAGAGAGGAGGAGGAGGGAGGAGGAGGAGGAGGAGGAGGAGGAGGAGGAGGGGAGGATGAGGAGGAGGAGGAGGAGGAGGAGGCGGAGGAGGAGGAGGAGGAGGAGGAGGAGGAGGAGGAGGAGGAGGAGGAGGAGGAGCGCCTAACCCAGACATGCGACGTCCGTTTTTTTGTTGTTTGTTTGTTTTTGTCTAAAGCAGGGTCCCTGGAAGTCACCAGACATGACCGCGTCGTAAAAAAAGGGCGGGAGCTTTTTGGCAATTTTCGGCGTCGGGGGGCCCTCGCCGGGCCTCGGGAGCGTCGAGAAAAGGCCCGAGATGAAGAACTGGTCCCGGGGAAAGGATCAGGACCCGAGGCCGAGATTGGCCCAAAACTCTCTGGTCTTGCTTGGTTTTTTGAACGGCGTGACCGCGTCTGGGGAGGGTACACCCACGGCCGATGCCCGGCCTGGCCGCGCCCGGGCGCCCAGGATCGGTGTTCGGCCACGTGCAGAGGGGGGGGGGGGGAGGGGGGAGGGCTTCTTAGAAGCACCCCTGCTTCTTGGAGGCGCGGGCCTTGTCTATAGATGTAAGGCCGGCGCCTTCCTCTGAGAAGCAGCCTCCTTCTAAGAAGCCCTCCCCCCTCCTCCTCCTCTCCTCCTCCTCCTCCTCCTCCTCCTCCTCCTCCTCTTCCCCCTCCTCCCCTCCCTCCTCCTCCTCCTCCTCCTCCTCCTCCTCCTCCTCCTCATCCTCCTCCTCCTCCTCCTTCCTCCTCCTCCTCCTCCTCCTCCCCCTCCTCCTCCTCCTCCTCCTCTCCTCCTCTTCCCCCTCCTCCTCCTCCTCCTCCTCCTCCTCCTCCTCCTCCTCCTTCTCCTCCTCCTCCTCCTCCTCCTCCCTCCCTCCTCCTCCTCCTCCTCCCTCCTCCTCCTCCCCCTCCCCCTTCCCCTCCCCCTCCTCCCTCCTCCCTCCCTTCCCCCCCTTGGGCGCGCCGCCGACGGGGCGTGCGTGCGCCCTCGCGCC